TAGAAGGTCCATAGGAGAACCTGGCCACTGTTTGGACTTGTATCTTTCCGTGTTCTTACATCTCACTAAGCACTGTTGTGGGTACCTCGGCCATATCTCAGTAATATGTTAAGCCATAGAGAAAAGAATGCATCCCTTCATCATAGCTGCTTGGCTTCACAGATACTTAAGATAGGCACTTACATTAAGTCTTGACATACACTATATGTGAGAGTAAAAAAAAAAATCCCCTATCACCAATATCTAGTATTTTGCATGCTTATAGTGTACAATAGTATGTGCTCAATATTGTATCTGTCCATTAGTCAATGATAACCAGGAGGACAATGAACCCATAGGAAGTTAAGTTTAATTAGCTTAATGCAACAAGAAGGACCACATGTTTGGGAATGTCAGTGTAGGAATGAGTCAGGAGAGGATTAATACAAAATTTAGGCTTACACTAGGTGTTTTTAAGGTACTATCAAGGAAATGAATTTATTTTCAAATGGATGCTATGAAGAGTTAAAGACAGTTCAGCAATTAGACTTTTTAATCTTTTTTCTGGTGACAGGAAGACCAAATTGGGCATTGAGAATGATTGACAATGTCATGAATTTGCGCGAGCATGGCTCGAAGGTGGAGAGGGTGGGGTGGGGGTGTCCTGCACATGCAGAGAAACATGTTGACATGCTGGGCAGATGCATACCATGCAGCAGCAGCGGCCAGCAGCTCACAACCCAGAGGATGCATCCATGTGGAGAGTTTATTATAATAGAGAGACGAAGATAAAGATAGGAAAGAGAGACAGAGAGAAAGAGAGAGAAGAGAGAGAGAGGTCGAGGGTGCACGTCATGTGTGTGGCGGGGGAGGAAGGGGAGGAGTTTTTCCTTTTATGTCAGGTGAGGTGCCAAGGGGTGGGATTTCAAAGGGGCAGGTCAGAATATTAACAGACAATACTGTAAATCATTTTGTTAGCAGCCTTTAGAAATACCATGTTGATGTTCTGTTGTAAACATAACAAAAATGGATGGTAAAATGATTCATCCTCATTCTCTCAGTATATTTTTCCCACTTAATCTTTATAATAACCTCATGTGGTGATACTATCATTATCCCAACTGTAGGCAAAGGGAAACAATGACTTAAATAGTGTTACCCAGCTTGTAAGTGGTAAAGCCAAGGTCTAAATTGTGGTAAGGTCACCATAGAGATGTTTTCCTAGACATTTTATCTGTTTCTCTGTAGCGTCTGTGTTGCTGTTCTTGCCTTAGAACCCCTCTAAGGGTAGAGAGGAAAATGAATAAGCATATCACACGCAATGGACCAGGATAAGGGAGAATTCACATTAACCTTTGTTTCCAGTGCCAAGTTTTACCCAATCCAGAATGAGGACGGTGTGTCGATGAAACTGATGATAGGTACTGCCGCTGAAGTGAATCAAAGCAAAATCGTAATTTACTGTCCCAGTTGACACCTGGAGCTAGGAGTTGTCATTATTCTTGATTTAGTCACTGCTGTGTGCTTCTAAGTGACAGTTGCAGGTCCCGAGAGACCCAGCATAAGTTTCCTTAGGGAATGCAGGCATTGATTTCAAGCAAGCTTCCCATGTGGTGATATGCCTAAGAAACTGCCTAGATGCCAGGATCCCAGCCGCTTTGCCTCAGTAGGACTTCATTTTCTCACTGGAGCAGAGAAGACCTGCCCAGTCTCTTTTTATTATGACAGTTACGAGGTTCTTACCACACTAATTCAGACCAGGGCTGATGAAAAGAAGCTTTCTGCTTATAAAAGTAAGAATTAATACATTTTTGATTCTGAATTACTACATCCATGCCCAGAAATGAGAACCACCATAGTAGTTTCAAAGCCAAGTTTCATTAGATATACTGAAAACCTACCATTTTGTTTTGCCATGAAGTTTTAACAATATTTGTGATGTGTTCTGTGTGGCTCGCTTATTGCAGAATAATAACAATTTCATTATCAGGCAATTATATCTTAGTGGCCATTTATGCATTATTTAATAATATACCTTATACTTGAAATTGAAAACCTTTAATAAATTAGTTTAACCTTTTAATAAAACTATCCTAGACCATGTTCTATTTTTCCTAAGTTGTAGAGAATTAGAATATTTACAAATTGTTACAGCTGTGATGAAGATGGGTTGTAGCTCTGGTAGTGGAGTAGACAAAATGCACTTACAGAAATTTTGGACTTGGGGATTCCATTGCCGGCTGGAATCAAAAGCCTAAGAAGCCATAGTATAAAATCCCCAGATGCTCATTCACCAAGAAAAGGAGCTTCGTGTCAGTGTTCTCCAGCAAGATAAAGTCACATTTGTAACTTCACTAGCACACTTTCAGGATGCAGTCGTTATTTCTACTGGATCAGACTGTGGACTTTAGGGTTTCAAGAAACTATCAAATGCAGCTATATTTGATTTGGAGAAATAAAAAGGAAGAAGTGAAGAAGGGGGCAAATAAGAGGAAATGGAACGGAAGTGGAACAGGAGGAGGAAGATGAGGGTGAGGAGGAGAAAGGAAGGGAGAAGAAGAAGAACAGCAACAACTTGAGGAAGCCACCCCCAGTGTGGCTCTGAAAAAAACATGTTATACACGTTCTTAAAGTTTCCCAGAATCTTGTCCCCTTCTCTTGTTTTTAGTGTGGTTGGGAGATTCAATGTAATTCTGCCAATGTGAATTTCTTTAAAATTTTTTATTGTTATAAAAATGTTAGCAACAGAAAACAGAACACCACATACCAGGGGACCACATGCCTTCAGTTGAGGCCATCTGGCTTGTTTCCCTCCTGATGCCAGGCCATTATCACAGTGATCACCACTTATATTTGTAATTGCTTGGTACCCAAAGAATAGGTAAATTTCCCACTTAACTAAACAATGATTGCAGCTTTGCCACTTAGCTTCTGCTCTGAAACATTGGGATAAAAAACATCGGTACTAGAGGAGCTCATAGCAGGGAAGATGGGGGAAGCAAACAGACAAAAAATTACATGTCCGAGTAGAGATGTACAAACTTCTTGAAAAGGATTCTCATAGAGGAGGTAATGTGAATTTTTCCTTGGGGGAAGAGGAAGGTTGCCTAGGAGTAGAGAAAGGACATTATAAGAAAAAGCAATACAATTCCTACAAAACAATAAACCAACCAAAGCCTTTGGGCACAGAACAACCACTGCTGTATTATCTGAATGATTATCTTTGCCAGGATTGTAGAAAGGACACAGTAAGGATAGCTTGTTTCTTCTGTACATGTGATAGATAATGGGTCTATTTGCATTCTTCTACATGTAGATATCCAATTATGCCAGCACCATTTGTTGAAGATGCTTTCTTTTTTCTATTGTATAATTTTGGCTTCTTTGTCAAAAAATCAGGTGTTTGTAGGTGTGTGGATTAATGTCAGGGTCTTCAATATGGTTCCATTGATCAGTGAGTATTTTTATGCCAATACCAAGCTGTTTTTGTTATTATAGCTCTATAGTAGAGCTTGAAGTCAGGGATGGTGATGCCTCTGGAAGTTCCTTTATTGTATAAGATTGTTTTGGCTAGCCTGGGTTTTTTCTTTTTTTCGTATGAAGATGAGTATTGTTCCTTCAAGATCTGTGAAGGATTGCATTGGGATTCTGATGGGGATTTCATTGAATCTGTAGATTGCTTTCGGTAAGATTGCCATTTTTACTGTGTTGACCCTACTTATCCACAAACAAGGGAGATCTTTCCATTTTCTGATATCTTCTTCAATTTCTTTCTTCAAAGACTTAAAGTTCTTGTCATATAGACTTTCACTTGTTTGGTTAGAGTTACCCAAGGTGTTTTATGTTATTTGTGGCTATTGTAAAAGATGTTGTTTCTCTGATTTCTTCCTCAGCCCATTTATCATTGGTATATAGAAGGGCTACTGATTTTTTTGAGTTAATCTTGTATCCTGCCACATTACTGAAGGAGTTTACCAGCTGTAGGAGTTTCCTGGTGGAATTTTTGGGGTCACTTATGTAGACTGTCATATCATCTGCAAATAGTGAAAGTTT